AACCTATTCCCTTCTTGAAAATCTTCATGACAGGAGGGAGCAAGAAGGATGAACATCTTTTAGAAACACTCTGTCTTGCTCTGTTCCAGTTTTGTTGTAGTAGGGTTTTCCTCAAAAACAGTGGCCGGCAGGCCATTATTCTGTATGGCCGACCATCTGATCAAGTTGGTCGGCCAAGCATGTTGTACAGCAATGGTGATTTTCTAGCAAAATAGAGCAGATCTTGAGGCTGAGACAGAACTGTTTTCTGATTGCGAACAGGGCAACTTCTACCAGCAAACAGAGAAGTTTCCAAATGATATTCTCGCTTGTGCGCACGTGATTCCCTGCCTCTTATTCAAATCTTTTAAATTAGTAGCTTTGAGATTTGTATTATGTAATAATTAGTTAATAACTAGTTAGTAATTAGTTAATTAATTCATTCATTTGTGTTTGTAATAATTAGTTGATTAGGCCATTCGGACCCTCTTGTGCGAGGGCAAATTTGTGACATTTGATGTATGTCTTCCAACTCCCATTTCTTTCTCCCATTTACTTACATGCTTACTGTGGTTATATATTGCATCATGTTTTCTTTTATCATTCACATGCTTGGTATCCATCTTTGCATAAATTAAAATTTGGCTGATCATGCATAATTTTCTTACCAATTTCTAAATGATTATGTGCGCTACCTTATACTTGGAGTTGCTTCACATGTCATGTTAGTAGCCGAATTTATTAGTTACATTTTGTATGTGTTGCATTAGCCACTTGTATATTAGGATCATACATATTTCTAACTATCTTCTTTTCTTTGGTTTGCCTCATTTGAGTACTAGGTGAGCATTTTTGGCTTTAGCATATCGCATGTGTGTTTGTGTTACCATGTCGAGCATACTACCATGAGACTACTCGCTTACTTGAAATATTTCTTTGGATGCCTGTGGATGAAAACTATTTCGCTTAAGTTTGAATGACTTTGATTATTGTATATATGAACTTGTTTTTCCTTTGAGTTGCACATATTCAAAACTCTTTCAAGAAAGCAATAAATCAAAGCATTCTAAAGTAAGTGACGTGGTATATACTTCTTTGCTTCACATAGTAATGTTAATATATTAATAATTAGATCATGAGTATATAATGCCATAAAATTCACATCATGGTTTAGTATAGGCCAATGTTTGATCGGGTGAGTAGGGTGCTCAATTCATGACCTTCGCCTCGCATATGTAAGTTCCCGAACCGAGACACTTTAGTTATGACGGACAAATGGCCTTTGGCACGAGCCATAGGTTTCTTAAATTTTCCAAAAATATTTAGGTAGCGACTCTAAAATCTAGCAATGCAATCCATTTTCAACATCTCTGATGATTAATGGATTTTCTAAGATTTGTCGGATTTTGACTCTCATTTGTTTTTCTATTTCACATTGCACTTGTGGAACCAGATTTAAAGCCACGGGAGTCCGAACTGTAGGGCTATTGTACCCGAGGAGACTAAACCCCTTCGAGAAGCGCGAAAAATCAGCTACAGTACCCCCCGGGTAGTATTACAGACGTCTTACCAACCCTAACAACAAAAATAAAAATAAAAACCAATAAGACTAATAAAAAAAAGTGGGTAAATTATAATTTAATCTCCTGTAGTTTGCTTAAAAAACACGGAACTCCCTTATAGTTTCATTTGTAACACTTAAACTCCCTATACTTCATACTAGAGTGCAATTTCTGACAAAACTGTTTGTTTAAACAGAGCGTGTATTGCACAACCATAAATGGTGAGTGAAGCACTTTTGCCTACCCAAATATATATGACAAATGACTAAAACACCCTGATATATATACACATATCTTCTGAAATAAAGAACAAAAAAATATGAATCTATAAGAAGAGGCACTTATTCTCTCTCTCTCTCTCTCTTTCCATTGAGTTACTGTTCACTTGTTCTCTGTTGTCGCAATTCCTAGCATTTTCTTCATATTTGATTCCAAAAATGATGTCGAAAAAAAGTTCAAATCCAACTGTTTCCAACCATTCTTGACATTTTTTAGAACTTATTCAAACCCTAAATTCAAGCCAAAGCTCGATGAGTAGTAGTGACAATTGCATTAGTTTCAGCCAATTGTCCTTTGAAAATCTAGAGCTGAGATCAAAGTCGCTGAAGCCACACCGATCATCGGACTAGTCGTGGAAGGCCATCCGATCGTTGACGTTCCGGCAGAAAGTAGGGCTTGGTTTCAGGGACTTTGGCCTCGTACGCCAAATCGAGAGCGACGATGTCGAGAGGGTCTTCATCTATCACTTCCGCAAGGGCGGTAACAGCTTCTACACCATGAAAGTGGTGGACAGAGGGGTTTTGGCCGTAAAGAAGGCGAAGATGGAGAAGAAAATTCTGAAGATGCTGGACCACCCCTTCTTGTCTACGCTCTACCCCGAATTTGAAGCCTCCCATTTATCTTGCGTAGTGATGGAGTACTATTTTGTGGTGATTTGCACTCTCTTAGACATAAACAGTCCTACAAATGCTTCTCATATGTTCCTATCCGTATATATTATGTTTATTTTAGCTCTGCAAAAGTCTATTTCTGGTGGATATTTTATGTATTATTTGGTTACTTTCTTTCCAGTTAATTCGTTTTCTCAAAAAATTGTTGTAATTTTAGCCACAATGAAAATTTACCATTATTTAGAATTCTTTCGCTATAGTTGTGAGTCGAATTCACCAAATCAAGCATTTCTTTTGATTTGAGCTTTTTATCCTTTCATGCAAGTAATGAGAAGATTTTATCAGATTTTTATTTCTTTATTTTTATGTTTTCTCTGGACATGTTCTTATAAAATATCTACTCGACTTGTTACTTTTTATAACTTCTGTTACAAATAAAATATCTACGCGACTTGTTACTTTTTATAACTTCTGTTACAAATAAAACTATAGAGAGTTTCGTGTTTTTTAGACAAATCATTAGGGGTTAAATTATAATTTATCAAAAAAAAAAAAAAAAGAAGGTCACGAATTTAGAGATCAAGTTATGATTGAACCCTACAATTAAAAATGAAGAATAAAATTAAGAGTAATGCTAGAGACCCCAAATATTCTACCAAAAGTTTTACCAAATGTCTCACATGGGTGTGGGACCCACACAATGTGGGTCCCATGTGGGTCCCACACCCATGTGAGACATTTGGTAAAACTTTTGGTAGAATTTTTGGGGCCTCTAGCATTTTTGTAAAATTAATCGTTGCCCCATTTTCGACTCCTACCACCACGATCGAAGCACCATTGTGACGTGCGATGGAGCTGAGATCTCAATCTGGGAAGTGGAGATCAAGACGGCGTGAGAAAGGCCCAGATCTACCACAAATCTAAAGAGAGAAGATAAGAGGAGTTGAACTGTCGGAGCAGAGAAGCGGCGTCTATATCTGAGATCAATGGTGCTTCGATCGACGACTGGTGGTTAGTCAGTAGCAAGGCAGCGATGGAGGTGAGGAGGTGAGGATGAGAGAGAGAGAGTGAGAGAGAGAGAGAGAGAGAGAGAGTGTTTGTTTTGGCAAGGACCCCGATGGCGACGACAACGGCAACACGGTGATGGAAAATGGAGATCGCAGTCTGTCGACGGCGACGGCGACGTGGTGGTGGCGATATCGAAGATGAAGAGATGACAAAGAGAGAGAGAGAGAGGGTATGTTGGTTTGCTCTGCCTACCATAATATATACGGTCTTTTTTTATGAGCTTGTCTTTTTTGATAAAAAAAATAAAAAAATAAAAAAATAGGTGCCTGGACTTTTAGATTTAAAAATTCAATTTTAGACTTTTTGGCCCGACTATTCTATATATATGAGCAATGGTAGAGGGCCACAATTTTTGTGGCTCAAATGGCTCAAAACTGTCAAAACGACGTCGTTTTGAACACAAAACATGCCAAAACGACGTCGTTTTAACAGTTTTGAGCCATTTGAGCCAGAAAAATTGTGACCCTCAAACATTATTCTAGAAAGTATGACTACGTGATACACGGGGCTGTAGTATAATTTTTCATAAAACAAACCGACTCCAAACACCATAATCTAATAATTGTTTAGATGAATGCTTAGATTTAATTCTACCACTATACAATAACATACTTGTAAAAGTAGGCAGATATAACGCACATATATATATTTCATATTAATAAGATATTTAAGTATTAACGGTACTTAATAAATTATATTTATATATAAACAATTCGGTTTGGTTCCAAACGGATTTGTAACTACAAAATTATAGACCGAATCATGAAGTATGATTCGTGTATTTTAAGAATTAAGATCGTACCGTATAATGAGAAACCGAACCAAACCGAGAGGTTTGATCTGGATTGGATTGATTTGTAATTTTTCAACTGTTTTGCTCAGTCCTATATATCCCAACCATAAGCTTTCCCAATTTTACAGTAGTTTGTCTGTGTCATTTCCAAACCTAAAAGTGGGCCGTGTGAACATTGAAGCACATAGTCATGTTTGGCCCGTGAAGCCGTCACGTGTATAATGCTAATGCAAAAGGGACTATGAAATGGACAGCCAGAATCATCTGAAACATTTGAGTACTGAAGGCAATATGTTGGCATTTCTTCCACCATATCACTTCGTCATCAGTTGATAAATAGCTCAGAACAAAACCTGAACTACACAACAGATTAGGTTTGGTTATAAATTGTGTAATCCATGAGTAGCTATTCTTTAATGTTAATCACCGGTCATTAGTTTTTAAGCAACAAGGGGAACAAAAAATTTTGTGTGTGTGTGTTTTTTTTTTTTTTCAAAAAGAAAAATGAATCCTACTCCTTGGCACTTGGAAAAGTACTATTAGTCCAATCTGAAACAAGCCCCAATTCATTAGGCTGCAAGTACTTTTGTAGAAATAAGGGCCCATGACCATATCAAAGTTTCTTCGGTAACAATTACTCCAATATGGTTCGTTCAAAAAAAAAAAATTACTCCAATATGGTGCGACTCAGGAAAGAACATGAGGGGGAAAAAAAAACCATCCATCCAATGCAATAGCTTAATGAATAGATTCACAAGTTTACTATCATTATGGTATGTAATGATTAGTCCAGATTCTCAAAACCATGTTCAAATTCATAGTACAGTAACAAGTAGGGAGAAAAGAATTTAGAATTCATCATTAAAGAAAGTATGAGGTTATGCCTATATGTTCCTCAAGGAAACATTTGCCCAGAAGAAAAATTTCACATCATCAATTACTTGAACTGGTGTAGCTTGAACTGGCATTGCATATTTGGTGTCCACCATTGGTGGATTCCATGAGCTTTCTTAAAATCCTCCGAGGGGCTCAAATTAATAGTTAGATACGCTGAAGGAATGAGATGTGCCGGTTCTGAATCCCTCCCCAGTGCACCTGATAATAGACTTCCTATTGAATTCTGTGTTGCAAGCCTTCCAAGTGATCCGTCACAAAACTTCATCATCTTTAACCTGTGTTCAAAATACCAAATATACTCGTAGCAAATAGGATCCGATGGATTCACAAACAGGTAGGGGATCCAGCCTGATAATACCGAAAACGAGTCATCTTTTTGAGGACTTTGATGGTGACAATTTACAGCTACAGCAATTCCAGCTGTAACAACACTGTTTGTGAATCGTATCCGATGCTTCAGTTTTTCGTTTTTTATTTCCTCTATTAAGGCAGATGGGAATGGCGGATTAAAGAGATAAGTTTCTACAAAACATCCAATCTTGACCATATTCTTTCCAGCTAGCAGTGCTATAGCTGAACCCAAAGAATGTCCAGCTAACCAGATGTTCGCAGCTCCGGCTATAGCAACCATGTCTTGCACAGCCTGCATTGCAACCTGAAAGCGAGTGCTCTGTTGAAGACTATTCTGAATGACCTTGCGATCCAACTTGAGATCTTGCAACCAGGTGTCTGGTTTGGCAATCGTACCACGAAAGGCAACAACATATCTTGGAGGATTTTGGACAAAATAGTTACAGTAAGGAGGAAATTTGAACTCGTAAATGGCACCGAAGATGGAGTGATCAACATCGTCAACCAACACACGAATTAACTGAAAATGGAAGAAGTCCCACCAGGGAGGAGCAAGAGCTTGGGGTCCTTGACGATTCTGTTGGCGGTCGCGTTCTAGAATGTACACTCCCTGAACCAAACTGGCGGCAACTGATCTTCGGTGGTGTGGGTTTTTCCTACAAGAATTTGACATTGAATTGCCTCTTAAAACCCGATGATGAATGGAGGCAGTTTTAAGAACTTGAATGATAAAACTTTTAGAACACCACTAGCAGGATTTTCCCATGGGATTTCTATAGCCCAATTATAATATTGAACCATTAGGTCTGTGGAAGAGTTACACTACCAAAGTGTGAGATGGTCTTACCAATCATCAACAGTCAGGTATACTGGTCCCGAGAGGCTAAAAATTTCCCTCTCGGAGGCCATTAGCCCAGATGCTCCCCTTTTCTTGTCTTCTTGCTATCCGTAAATAGAAAACTGCCAAGTGTAGAAGAAAATCCAACAAATGAATAAGCATATTCTCAGCAAAACTAAGTGAATGGTACATTAATACAACAATGTTGCACATGATTTTCTTATTAACCATTCAAAATTTCAATGAGCATAACATTATAAAGAACACTTTATTCACAATAAATTCTTCCCCAAATGTTCTCTCTTTTTTCAGTTCAACAAGAAATTTACTTGAAAGTGAATGAAGGGAAAAGCTGCCATTCCTAAAGATTAATATGATTGGGCATGCAGTGTGCAAGGGCCAAGTGATGACAAATATGAACCAACTATAAATTTATCATTTTATACTTCATGAGAAATTGAAGGCTCAGAGTCCTAGCATATGCCCAGACAAAACCAATTCAAATATAACTCACAAATCCTATAAACAAATTAAGCTAACTTGACATGTTTTGAACCTTTTATCTTGCGTATAAACGTATTCTTAAAACTTCAGTTTATTTAACATGTAATGAACCTTTTTAATTCAAAATAGAGATTCAGACGAAGGAAAATGACTCTTACCATGAGATGATTCAGAAAGGATATAGAAGGTGATAAACAAGGATTCAATGAGAAAGTTTTGCACTTAACTTGGCCATTGGTACAATGAAAAGAACATAAATTTGAAATTAATTTTTGTTTCCTTTGAGCAATATATGCATATATCAGTGTTGGGCTAAAAATGACTACAATATTGAAATTTGGATACAAGAACATCACCATATGCGTTTGCTTGTGTTAATACTTTATAAAAGATGCATATCTATTCTTCTCTCTTTTTTCTTTTTTTCATTCTTGGCAGGTGGAGAACAAATAAAATAAAACATCTAAACAACAAAACTTATGTCAATTGAAAAAGTAAATTACAAGTGGAGATTTACATGGACTACATTCATTAAAGTAATAGACTCAGGGTTTCAGAAGGAAAAAATTGGAAGAATTGTAAATCCATGGAAATTTGGCAAAATAATTTCACTGTCATGGAAGTTCAAGTGAGTTGTGTCCCAGTGATGAGCAAATTCCCCTCCCCAACTCCCAAAAAAATAAATAAAAATTACATACATACTTGACCCTCAGTAAAGTGCCAATGCTGTGCAACAAACATATTGCAATTGAGATGGATGAATACATCTCTTACGTTGTGTTTGGTTGAAGAATTTGGGGAAGAATTTGGAAAGAGAAAGGGAAAAGTTAGGTAAAATGTGAATAAAATATACCTATATTTCACCTAATTTCACACATTTTTTCCCTTTCCCTTTCCAAATCCCTCCCCAAATTCTCTAACCAAACACAGCATTAGTGAAATCAAAACAATTTTCCCTACTTGCAAAAAGAATTGACAGTTATCAGATATGCATACATTAGCTTAAGGCATGAGATACATAATGCTTTCAATAAGGGGAAATAATAATAATAATAATGGAATTGCTGGTAATGCCTTTACAGAAAACAAGAAAGAAAGACAACGAACACTTATTTGAACCAGGGATTTGGGAAATTGGTAACATCGGTACTCAACAAGGAAAGAGGGCCAAAATTCATATTGAAATTTAGACCAGGAAGCATGGAATTTGAGAGGTCACAAAATATCTATTATAAAAGTATTATCACTAATTCAATGTGTTGCAAAGAAAATTGAAGTATTCTGGCAATAGATATTAGGAAGAAAAAAAAAAACTACAAAACCAGAACCACAACACCACCAGGCACTTATAATCCAAATCCACGTACATTCATTCATTCATTCAAATCGTAGCAATTATAACCCATATCCACATTCATTCATTCAAATCTTAGCAATAAAAACCTGTCAGAGCGTTTAATCGTTACAATTGGAATCCCGAATCCCTTCCTTGCTTGTTTTTATCCGCCTGCAAGAGAGAGAGAGAGAAAGAGAGAGAGAGTGTGTGTTCGTGAGCAGAACTAACAGAGGAAGGTAAGACTAGCAATGATATGCAAAGCCAACAAGTAATTATTACAGTCTGATTATAATATATTATATTATTTAAATTAGTGGTAAAATTTTATTTTGTAAAATTTACTCATATAATATGTTTTTTATTACTACTTCAAGCGAATCACAAGTGTATGAAGATTCAACTAATTTACATTAGGGCTGAGCAAGGAATCCGTGAAATCCGTAATCCGATCCAGTCCAGTCCAATCCGATAGGTTTGGATTGGTTTTTTGAATCCGCGGTTCGGTTCCGGATTGAATAATTAAAAATCCGTAATTCACGGATTGGTTCCGGATTGAATTCCACGGTTCCGGATTGGAACCGATCCGGACCGTATACAAATAGTCTATATTTTTATTATACATCCTCCCCCATAGTATCTTTTCTTATTCTATGTAAAATCGAAACTCAAAGCTAAAACCGTATAATATCTTCTTTTATTACTTTTGTTTGTTAGTTTTAAGTTTTAATTTGTAATGGTCTAAATACTTATGGTGAAACCAGTTTTCTTATGGTTGTTTAAATTCTAGAACAGTATGTCGTTATTATAGAAAAACATGTTGCTATTATGGAACTAATATAGCGTTATGTTTATATTTTTATGAAATTCAAGTGTTATATATATATTTTTGTTATTTAATTATGTGAATCCGTGGTCCTAAACCGATCCAATCCGTATTTAAATGGATTGGTTCGGATTGGTTCCATGATTTAAACGGATTGGATTGGTTCCAATTTTTTAGAAACCGTAAATAACGGATTGGTCTTGGTTTTACCCCAATCCGATCCAATCCGTACCATGCTCACCCCTAATTTACATAAAGTAATTTTTTTATTTAATTTTCAATCACTATTAATAAAATGTGCAGTGATATATTGATATTCTAAACTGTTAAATAAACTCTTCTATTTAAATTTTTAAAAATATCAAATAATTCACTTAAAATATTTACAAATTCCTTTAAAATCTTATTTCTCATAGTATTTTTAAAAAAAAATTGATATTACCGTGTAAAAATTTCATGAATCATTCACAGAAAATTGAGACATTGTGCCTGTTTGGTGCAGCTTAAAAACTGTTTATTTCAGCTTTCAGTTTAATTTAAGTTATTTTGATGTGTTTGGTTTAGCTTATAGCTTATAACTTATAGCTTTTTGGGAGTCAGAAATCAGCTTATTCTTTGAGTGGGGCATGAGATGCTTAATTTATAAGTCAGAAATCAGCTTATATTCATAATTATAAACTATAAACTATTTAGGCATAATCTATAAGCACTTTCTCACAGCTCCACCAAACAGGGGCATTAAACAAAAGAATGGGACAACGGCTAGCAAGTTGGGAAGCTCTGACTTTGGAGCAAATTGCAATTAATAAAAACATACAAGTCTATATAATACAATAATAACTAATAGACTATTAGATGTAATATAAACATACAAGTCTATATAATACAATAATAACTAATAGACTATTAGATGTAATATAAACATACAAGTCTATATAATACAATAATAACTAATAGACTATTAGATGTAATATAAACATACAAGTCTATATAATACAATAATAACTAATAGACTATTAGATGTAATATAAACATACAAGTCTATATAATACAATAATAACTAATAGACTATTAGACAATAAGAGGAAATGTAAGTAAATTATTACATATAAAGAAATTTATAATTTTAATTATTAATATTGATAAAATTTATCATTATTTTGTAATTATTTTAAAAATTTTGGACTGATCTGAAATTTTCCCATTTTTATCTACTAATAAAGAAATAAATTATTTGTGTACAATTTATGTGGTGTGTTGCTAGGTTTCGGACTTCACAAGTAAAATACAGAGGAAGAAGATTCGAGATTAATCTCAGAAAACTTTCGAGTTTTGATTACTGAGGGAGTTTACTTACCAATTAGCATGGCTTTCTTTCAGCTCTCACTCTGCATTTCCATATAACAATTTCTCATTAATTTACAAATTAAGGCCCCATTTGGCAATTAAATTTTTTAGCTTAAAATTAGAAAGTCACTAAAAAAATTAAAAAGCCGACTAACTTATATAAAAAAGTAAAAATTTCATTTTTCTCTCTATTTTTTGTATATTTTTTCGTAAAAAAATTAAAAAGTCATCCAAAAATATTAAGTAGCGTTTGGTTTACTTTTCAAAATTTAACTCTGTTCTGTTTTTAAATCATGATTTGAATCAAAACTCATAATCAAATAAATTTTTAAAATATAACTCAAAATTATTTTCAAAACTTCTCTCTTCTCTTTCTTTTTTATTATTATTAATCAATTATTTTTTTTCTCTCATCTATCCTCTCAAATTCTATACATGAATCAATCAAAACAAATTACAAATCATCCTATAACTATTTTCCAAACTCATAACTAAATAAATTTTCTTTTTTCAATTCATGATTCAAAAGCTCAAAGCTCAAAACACAACTTCACACTCAAATCATAATTCTAAAACTAAACCAAACGGACCCTTTTTTTTATCCCATATTTTAGTCAAAAAATTAAAAAAATTACTAAAATAATATATTCTCAAACGAGACCTAAATGTAAGAAAAAAAATTACTTTTTTAGTTATTTTTCACCAAATCACCCCATTAAAATAAACTATAAATATATGTAACTATTCCATTTATTTTTATTATGAGGGAAAATTACAATATAAAATCATTTTAATATATATAGTTAACATATTATTCCATGCTTGAATTGTGTGTTCTGTTTCATATGATAACAAAGTCTCGTAACTTATCATCGCCATCAATATGATGTCCATTGTGATATAGATCTGTATTCACAAAGTATTACTATAATCAAAATAAAAAGCTATTAAATAAAAGTTAATTTTCATTCAAGGATATAAATGTTCTTACTTTTAAATTTAAAGCGATATGGAAAACAATTTTTTTTTTTTTTTGAAAACAAGAAAGAATGAGATAATTCTTGAAATTGTGTGTATATATATTGTGGTAATCTTGCATTGAGTTAGAAAGCTTTCCTTTTTGAAATTCTTAAATCATGGGATAAGTCATGATAATTTAAATGAAATTATTAAATCATGAAATAATTATGGCAAATTTAAATTTGTATTGTGATAATTACGAATTTAAAATTTATACTTAAATAAGCTAATTAATAAAGGTTTTGATTTTGAAAATACTTTTGCATGAAGTTTTGAAACTCACATAATATCTCTTTTTACAAACATTCTTTTGTAAAATATATAAATAATCTCGACGTTATTCTTATTACTCATTAATAGAAAAGTTATGAGCTAATTATGATAATTTTAAATTTGTATTTAAACTTATAAATCATGGGATAGATTATTATAATTTTAAATTTATATTGTGCCAATTTTAAATTTAAATTAATAGATTGCTTCCCATATTTAGTGACGCTCAAATTTAAATTTTGAAATGGATTAACATACTTCTTTTGTTTTTTTTTCTTTCTTTTTTTAGATTTGATATACTTTCTATTTGAAAGTCATAAATCAAGGGATATTAATTTTTATTTTTATTTTTATTTTTTTGCTTGAATAAGAGCTAGCCAATAAAGGATTTTTTTAATTTTTAAAAATCAAAAAATTATGAAATTTAGATTGGGAATTTGAAACTCTTAGAGACCTTATGGGTTATAAACCCCATTTTCCTTATATAATATATAGATCTTTTAATAACGCAAACCTACATTATTAATAGAAGTAAATAAGATAAATTGCATTACATGAGTACAGATTTCCAAATTTTGCACTAACACATTATTTGACATAAATTAAATAAGTGTACTTATTTAGATCAAATCACCTCTCTTCTTTTTTACACATCTTTTCGTAAAAAAATCAAAAAATATTTTTTTTTAGATCATTCCAAATAACCCTAAATGAGGTTTCATTTTTGGGAATTGATCACTTTTAGTTTATCTTCTCTTTTACTAATCAGATTCTTTTTTTTTCCTTCTCTTTTTTCTTAAATTTTTTTTTTTGGAAATTGACCATTTTTATTTCTATTCTCTTAAACGTTTTAGATTGAGTAAATCTAAATGCATTAATGAGGTTTTTTTTTTTTTTTTTTTTTTTTTTTTTTTTTAATTTTTTACATTTTTAAATAAAATATATAAAAAATTTAAAAATTAAAATTAAAATTTTCAAAAATTAGTCCCCATTTGTGTTTATATTTGCTTTGAAATTTCTTTGGTTTAATACGTGTTATTGGTTATATATGTGTGTGTATATATGTATATTATGTTGATTTGCTTCTATTATTATATTTAAAATTGAGTTAAAGATTTCAATCAAATAGTAGTTTTTGCTTTGATTTCGATGGGTTAAAAATACTATTATTTTAAGAAAGATATATCTCTATTCGAATAGTAAAATATATATTTTTATTGATAAAATTTAATAGAACATTCTTTTTAAGAAGAAATTTAATAGTTCTTCAACGAAAAAAATATTTATTAAAAGGGACACAATCTTTCCAACACAAGTAAGAATCTGAGGAATTGGATTTTCATTATTCTTTTATTTAGTTATTTATTTATTTATTTTGTCTCAAGCGTTGTTCATTTATGTCTTTTTCCTTCTAAATATCATAATTTAATTTACTTTATCCATTGGAAATGACTATGTTGACTGTGATTAACATAACATTCTCGAAAATAAGAAAATGAGCCTCTGTTTGGCAAGTGAGGTTGGAGGCTTTTTTGGCTATTTTAGTCACAAAAAATAAAATAGGCTATTTTAGCCATAACAAACAAAACATCACATCCAACCCATAATCATTACATTCTTCTCTCACAAAAAAACTCAAAAAAGCCAAAAAGCCAAAAAGCCCTCTCCAAACCAAGCTTTTAAGCCCAGGCTAAAATAGCCAAAAAAGCCAAAAAGCCAAAAAGCCAACCCACTTCCCAAACCAAGCCTTAACTCCGTTTGGGAAGTGGGTTGGCTTTTTGGCT